TGCAAAGTTTTAGGTTGCGGAAACTTACGGTTCATGAGATATATTTTTTTAAACTTTTCATACAAATTGGCAAATAACACGCAATTACTCCAATTACAAAATGAATTTAACAAATCAGATGTCAAACGTCAATTAGTGTAGGTTCCGAATATTTTGAAAGTATCGATACGTACTCGATACCAAGTATCGTATCACAAGTATCAATACTACTTGGTATCGAGTAGATTTCGTTAATTTTGGAGACTAGGGGGGTAAGAAGCCGGGAAGTTGTGCTCCGGCGCTCCGTGGCAGCTCTGGCGCTGCGGGATGAGCAGCGCCTCCGCCCTAGCGTAGGGAAGCGCAGGCACCGAGATCGCCGTAGCGGCTGAGGCTGGTCGCCGAAGGCGACCAAAAAGCTGAAGCTGCGAAGGCGAGCCCAGGTCCAGCTCCGGCGCTCCGTGGCAGCTCCGGCGCTGCGGGATGAGCAGCGCCTCCGCCCTAGCGTAGGGAAGCACAGGCACCTGGGCTCGCCGGACGGCTCTGTGCGCTTCCCTACGGCGGGCGGGCACTACTCTCCCTCCACGCCTCCGGGCTCTTATATACACTCTAGGGGTAGGACAGACGAGATATATGTTTGTAAAGTATTCATATTAAAAAAATTACCAATCATGAATTTTTAATAGCATGTATATGTTTATTCATGTCATTATATTACTTAAAACTAATATTGCACAAAACAACTCATAAACTCTACTTCAAAACAAACAAATTAAATAAGCAAAATGGCGGATTGTGTCAGCGCTACTGAAGTAGCAATCGTGTCCTGGCCGAAAACTATTTTAGCGCTTATAAGCGCTTGCTAGCGCTTTTTTCTGCCAAACGCACCCAATATATGAAGATTTTAAGCAGCAAGCAGGTAAGTTAGATTTACCATATACTTACAGCCAAAAAAATTTTTAGGTCTGAAATAACACGCGGTAAAAGGAGATGCAACCATTATGTTGTCTCTTTCTAATGCTTTAGAATGTCATTATGTAAATGTCAACGGCCGAAAGCCAAAACATTAAACAATGGGTGCGTTTGGCAGAAAAAAGCGCTAGCAAGCGCTTGTAAACAAAATGGCGATCGTAAGCGGTAAGTGCTGTCAAAGCGTAAGTAGCTATTTTCCTCTAGGACACGATGTTAGTTTTAACCGGGTAACCTAACCTAATTAAAATATATGTTTGTAAAGTATTCATATTAAAAACTTACCAATCATGAATTTTTAATAACATGTATATGTTTATTTAAGTCATTACATTACTTAAAACTAATATTGCACAAAAGAACTTATAAACTCTATGTTGGCGCGACTTCTAACGCCGCCTAGCGACGCACCGGAACACCAAACTTTTAGCTACGAATCAGAGCTCGTCATTGTTAGCAACCAATCACAGCACGTCGTGCAATTAGTTATAAGATCTGTCTGTATTAAATTTTGATTATTACCTGATACACACTGTTAGCAATAAGACGACTTAAATATAACCAACAAACGTTCAATAAATCAATCATTGAAGAGCACCTGCCTCCCGTTCCTGTACATAAAGTGGTCCTATCGAGCCGAATAAGGAGTTCAAGCTTGGAATCTCCGAAGATTCGTCGCATCAAAATACGAAGAGGAGATTCACGTATCGAGCGAAGAGCTGCAACGTTAAGGCATCGACAGACAGGAGTGGCAGGTTTGAACTTCCCGTCCGTTTCCCCATCTCATCCTTCGATAGGTGTTGATTTCGTGCTGATATTCCATTTCCAGTGCTCAAGTGGCGGTACCTACCTGCGCAACGGCACCCACCTTGGTTCGCACGCATCTACAAATTGGCAACTGTAAGTACTCTTGATTTCCTTAATTTCCCAACATGAGTGAGCCCAAATTGCCAGATTTAATTAAGAAAAGAGGAGTTTTAAAAGGTCGATTAACTATGTATGGTAGAATTTACGGCTAACAACTACTATCACGCATGGGAGCTATTAGCCGTAAATTCTAATGCACCTATGACGTGTGCCGCGGTACCGGTTAATGACGACTTTAAATAATGAAATTTTTGAACAGGACCTAAATCATCGCGATCATGAATCATACTAACGTAAGAATTTTTAAACTCTAGCCAGCAATCGTATGAACCGTCAAAGGAAGGTATTTTAATATCGGGTAACTTTATGCCTATCAGCTTACACTCTACTTCAAAACAAACAAATTAAATAAGCAAAATGGCGGATTGTGTCAGCGCTACTGAAGTAGCAATCGTGTCCTGGCCGAAAACTATTTTAGCGCTTGTAAGCGCTTGCTAGCGCTTTTTTCTGCCAAACGCACCCAATACTGTTTGATACTGTTCTATACGATTCCTAGTAGTTAACCTATAAAACTTAAAAAATTTATTTCTCGAAAACTATAAGTTTCCGCAGAAAATCCTTCTAGCATTTACTTCAATGACCTGTTACCTACCTATTAAAATTAAAATTATCACGAAAATCGTGCGACCGTAAACTAAAGCACAGCCGGAATGGCTTTTAGTGAAGTTTGTAGAATTTGTTTACGCGTTAATGTACGCTTATGTGTACTGAAGAAGACTAGTCTCCGAAACTTGTACAAAATATTGATGAACTGTTTGGTAAGTTGTTAACATTTTTTAATATTGCATATTGGAATTGCGGTAATTTGTTGTTGTCGACGGAGAAATTATAACTTATTTCTCCGTCGTTTTATTATAAGTTCCCTGACATAAAATGCGATAAATCAGAGCTACGCTAAGGTGCAGCGTTAAATATAGTGCTACCAGACAAATGCAACCAGAACCTGAAAAACAACAATTAGCCTGAAATCCTACTATGTACTAGAAGAGATACCGAGACTTAATGGTTTGCAACACGTTAGAGCCCGCGGGTCCATTATGAGGAAAATGCCACTGCCCTTCTTACTGCAGTTGTACTGCAATTATAGTGCAGTCCTTATGAGATTAAATAATCTCATTGTTAGTCGACCGAACCCACCTCAAACTCACTTCATACTCCAATTGATATTAAATTAAAAAGGTTAAAACTGCTAGGCGATGTATATTGTTATTAACCTCCATTTGAAACAAAGTGACAGTTGTCTAATAGAAGGATGTGGAGCTTAAACTCAAGAAAGTAGTAAGTTCAGATCTGCTATTTGATAATTGTAAATGACTCCTAGTTACGTGTGGCTAAGATGGATTAATTTTGGAGCAGGCCCCGTTCCGTATTAGTGACACTGACGTCGCTGCGTATTCCTGATCTTAGCCTTGAAGCCGTTAATAAGTTCAATAAAACTCAATTTGCATTGTTAACACGATGAGGGACGGTAATGACTTTTTCAAATTATGCGTTATGGCAGTAAAATTGCCCATACAAGTTACGACCACTGCTATATCAGTAGTGTTCTAAAGCAATACTAAAGAATAATAAACATAGACAGTACTGTCACAGCCGTAAGCCGGCTACAGCCGTAGTGTTAATTATTATGCATGCCTGGCATGTTACAATTACACTACGGTTATTACCGTAATCTGCTATAGCCGTACCATATTTTATAAATATTTGACGGGTTCAAAATGTGATGCTATGGATATTGCTGTATACGAATATATTGCTGTATATAAATGTTATTTTCAAAATAAAACCAAAATATATAAGAAAACTTATAATTTATTGTATCACATAATGAAATACTCGGAAACAGTCATTTTTCATGGAAATTATCCCTATTATATATATAAAACTATAGCATAAAAACAAAAGTATAATAATTCAGTAACAAAACACCAATTCTAAGGAAACCTCTAGGGAGCCTCTAAGTAAATAGATAATAATTTACCTAAAACTTAGTCTTCCTGCTGATTACTTGCATGCAAAATGTGCCAATCTTCGAAACATTCCAGGCACAAAGGTGTTCTTTTCACACATCCCTTGCAGATGTATTTAGTTTCTTTTCGTTATTTATTTTAGTGCATAATTTGCAATTCAAAAATTTGAATTTTCTTTTACTGCCATCAGAGTTCGTTGGAAGTGGCATCACGACTGGCCAGTGACCTTTCATTGCTGTGACGCTACATTCTTCCATAACATTTTGCCTAAATCTTCGGCTGTTGTACACACTATCTTTTCTTACCACATCTGGACTCTTTACATTATCAGAAATTTGACACATTTCTTTTATCAATTGATCTCTGAACTTAATGGACTTATATTTACCATTCTTTTTCACATATTTTTATACAAATAATATTCGTTCCAGTCAGCTACGTCGAGGCAATGAAAAGTAACCCTTTTATACAATCTTAGACTTTAACGAGGGGATGAATAATATGAATAATCTGATCGACTCTATCTACTCCCCCCCCCCCATAAAATAGTTGTAAGCAGCTACTTCAGCGGGTTTAGTTGCTACTATGCCATATCGGTTTGACACTTGTGCTAGTTTTGGGTGATCCCGGGTAGAAATTGTAAAAACCGGTCTTTTATCTCTCCACATTGAAACATAAATTTGGCTTTTGCAAAACCATGATGACCTTTGACCAAATATGGTTCCAACAGTTTCAGCACGATATTTTGAGTTTTCTTTCCTGTTTCTAAGTTATCTTTACCATGGTACATCATCATATCAAGGACATAACCGTCAGTAGTTGTGAGGACATAGAATTTTATACCATACCTTGCTTTTTTGATTTTATGTATTGTCTAAAGTATATTCTACCCCGAAATAGAATAAGAGATTCATCTATGGACAATTTTCTTAAACATGTTAATACTAATGTAATTTTAAATGGGGAGGAGCTGAGTCTTGATGCACCAGGCTGGTCCACCTCCAAAGACTGAAGAAAAACATCCATGTCGTTAGGCAGCAAATTATCACTAGCTGTTTGTGCACCAGGCTGTTCCACCTCCGAAGACTGAAGAAAAACATCCATGTCGTTAGGCAGCAAATTATCACTAGCTGTTTGTGCACCAGGCTGTTCCACCTCCTAAGACTGAAGAAAAATATCCATGTCGTTAGGCAGCAAATTATCACTAGCTGTTTGTGCAACAGGCTGTTCCACCTCCGGATACTGAAGTGCTGTATTAACTGCAGTTATATCTTCTTGAGTTAGCAGAGATGGACTTAACGGTGCATTACTGTCGTTGCTAGCCAAAGAATAAGAAAGATGGCGTGCTGAGATTCCATTGAACCCGATTTCATTCTCGGAAGATTCTGACTGAGCAGATGGACAATAATCTTCGTCAGAACCATGCTCTCCCTCGTGATCGTGGTACGGGTCTTCAATATCACTGGTTTCCGGTGTTGATACATCTTCCAGAAGACGACTGATGCGATCTGTATCCATCTAAAACAAAATATGATCATTCATGTTACACATCCGTATAGGCACCTTTGCAATAGATTTATCAGTTTACACATTCTTGTTTGCTAGTCTCAGTGATCTAACAAACCGTTTTTAGTACAAATAACAATCAAAATACTCACGTTAGTTCATAAATTTAGGCAAGAAAAAATGGCGCGAAAATCGACGAACACACCGTTCCCAATTGGCGCGTGGCGCGACACTACTCAAACCGTTGCATAGAATCTTTATAAAATATAGACTAACCACGGGTATGACCGTAGTGTGCGGGCGTGGGTACCCTAGAAAACGCACACGCGCTTGTATTTTCAATGTTTGATTTTATGAGTTCTAATGCGTCTGAACAAATGAGAAATTGATGTGATACGACAGTAAAAACGGTTTTCCTTGTTCCTCTATACGAAACTTCACTGCGCTTACCGTACGTTAGTCCGAAAGAATTAAAACTTTTATGGTGATGCCTACTGTCATTTTCAATCATCGAAAAGTCTACTGCTAATGCAGTGCGTCCTGCATTGTGTTATCCTAGTCTAGTCATATCTTCTATTTATTTGTTTATTTTATTTTTGTGTTCACTTGGTTTAACTTTACATTGATAAAAGCTTATGTTATTGTTATATATCATAGATTGTGATAAATCGTTATGAATGTGGGGCGAAATAAGTTGAGAAATAATGTTAGTTAAGTCAACCAGTTTGTCATTAGTTTTGCTACCAAGCACAATACACATATTGACCTAAATTGCAGTGTTCTATTGGATCTAACAGTTAACGTGACATAAGACTGCTGCTTTGTAATAGTTTTGTACTATGCCACCTTCATTATTGTGTTATTATTTATGATCCAAGCCTATTTAAAAAAAATTGAGAAGAATGTAAAGAAAGTTTAGAATGCATGTATCTGTTTTTGTTTTAATATACTGAAAAGGGTTAGGATTTCACCTTATTTAGTCAGTAATGGCATTTTAAATATATTCAATAGAACCAAGTTAAAATATGCCTGCTTTCTGCACACTGCATCACGCAGTCTCCAAAATATTTGTATGATAAGATAGCCATCGAAAAAAAAGTTTGCATTCAGTCAGAGAAAATTGTCATAGGCTTCCACTACCCCGGATTAGAATCGCTGGAGCCAGGGGATGTTTTAAATTTGCTGCTGCTAAAATTTGGAACGACTTGCTACCACCAGTCGGGTCTACCCTATTTCCGTCTACCTTCCAATAAAGATGCCCCAAGTGGCTTATTCAAAAACAGTCCCTGGCTCTATGTGGCTCTGATACCCCTTCAAATTAGATAACATTTTTTTATGTATTTTAGCAACTATAATTTATTAATTGTTTTATTTTTATTTATTTATTGTTGATATGTGTGATTCATCAATTGCCTAAGACCCTGTATGAATTATGCGCAAAGGCTGTGGCAGAATAGCAGGAGTAATGGGTTTCCTGTTACAACTGAATCACAGACCGTTTTGTTACAACTAATTATTGAGCTGCATATTTAAATTTTAACATTGTATTTTTTTGTGTCAAATAAACCTTTTTATTTTTTTATTTATGAAGCATTACATCTTAATACTCAGGGTAACATCGCATCTGTAGTCTTTGCTTGAAGTTTTTGCTTTGTTGTTGTTGTTTGTTTGTTTGGTGCTTATGGGCTGTGGTAGCCACTTACCATCAGGTGTATTGTAAGTTTATTTGTTACTTCAATGTTAAAACAAAATGATGTTGAAGAAGAGAGTTGTGGTGGCCAGTATATTTTATTACAAAATTGTATATTTAAATAGTTTTCCATATTTATGATAAACTTTCATATTTTCAGATGGATGAAGATGAGGAGCCCATAATTGTCTGTCTCATCTGTCATGCAAGACTCATTCGATGCAGAATGTTACAACAACAGGCTATTGAGTCAAATGCAGTTCTGGTGCAGTTGCTTGCAGGAGGGTCCATGGTATTTTCCATTCCATCCATTAAAATCTATAAAAGTCTCTCACAGATTGCTTAATAGGAGGGATTTTGCCAAATTTGCCATGCTTGGCAGGTCAGGAATGCAGTATATATTAGTCTGAGTTTTTATCAGGAAGATGCTGTTGCCCAACTCCTGTTTCTGTTGTCCTCTGTTGCCTCTTATGATATCCGTCCCGTGGGTAGGTATATAGGGTAGTGGATATCCTTAAACCATCACTACAATGCCTGCGGAATAATACTTTTCTGATGAATAAAAGTTCACTGCTTGATGGGTCATTCCCATTTTAATGAAATATTTGCCTTAATTGTCACTTGGTAGGCATCTTAATGATCACAAATCTATACCAGCTATCACAAATCATGTGTCATACTATACTACACATTATTTTAATATAGTAGAACGGTATATTTCTGTATTTGTTCAAGGAGTCTCTAGTAACACCTGTTCACAAGAGTGAAGATGACAAGGATATCAACAACTACAGAAACTTAAAGAGGTTCATAAGTTTCCTCACTAAGTTTCACATCTTATAAAGTTTGGCTTTCAAGCAGGAAATTCGACTGAAGACACTGTAGAAGCCCTTACATCTGTAGTTGTTGATAGTCAACTACAGTAGTATATTACAGTTACATTATTACAGTTGTAGAATATTACACACACACTACACATACACACACTACACGTTCACTACACACACACACCCACATACACACACACACACACACACACACACACACACACACACACACACACACACACACACACACACACACACACGCACGCACGCACACACGCACGCACGCACGCACACGCACACACACGCGCACACTTCAAACACTTTTTCTACTTTCAAAATAAATATGTTGTTTACGCTCAGTGTTGAATTTATTATATGCTTTTGTACATTTTATGATATGGAAGAGGGGCTTACTTCTGATACGGACGCATTTCGCGTTCCAAAGAAGAAGTTTACCGTTGTATATGTACTTTTTTATGAATAAAACCTTATGTCCTTCAATTCAGCTTACTTTATTGTAGGAACAATGTTCTATATTTTATGAATTACAGTAAGTGAAGTACATATTTTTACAAAAATAATTATCAAACTATACTGTTATGTATTACTCTATTGTATATAAACGAAATATTATCTATAGGTGATAAATATTATTAGTAAACTTTTGTCCTTTTATTGTATTTGTGAATCTGAATGGAAAAATTGTTGAGTCTCGATTCTAATTAATTTCTAAACTATCTACATTTTTATTTAAATTTATTCGGAACTCACTTTTGTTCGACTTTTGTTATTATTTGAAGTTAGGAAAATCATCTGTGGGATGGTATGGGGTAGTATGGATTCCTTTACGCCACTACTACACTGGCTTCTCTTATGTATAAAAAGTTTGGTTTCAGTCAATACCAAAACCACATGAGGCTAGAGATGAGATTCAATTCACACCAATTAATCATATAGATATCCGGCCAGTAGAGTGTGATTTAGAAAATAATTGTAAGGGCGACATTTGTAGCCTTGACTCTGTTAAAGTTGAGGAAGAGACAATCAAAAATGAGAATTTCAAATTTGAAGTAAACTGGAGTCATGAAACAGGTAAGATATGTACACATTTTGTGATATTATTAAATTGAGGTACAATTTACCTAATGGCAAGTGGTTACTGTAGCCCATGGACACAAAATAAAGAGGACTTCATGTGCAATGTACTGATTTGCCTTTACCTAAATTCAAATTGCATGTAAAAAGCACTCGCATGGATAAGGAAAATAATAAATTAAATAATTATTTAAAAGATAAGCATACATGGGACATCATAATGAGCATTGTTAGACATTTTATTTTACCTATGTATAAATATATTTATAAATGTTTTGACCCTGTATAAATGCAGCCAGTATATAACACTAAGATGTATTAACTTCATAGGAATTAATGATATACTTACATGTTTGCCAATATCTTAACCCATATGTACTCTTCCATCCTCCTGTTACCTATTTCTGTCGTCAAACAGCACTGCTGTGTGCCAGTCTGAAGAGCAGGGTATTTTTGAAACGCTCGCAAAATCGAAAATAGACGATAGTATTAAGGATAGCTTTGATGATGAGACAAAAATAAAATCGATCCCGATGCAAATAAAGTAATTTTTTACAACATTTAATTAGCATTATTCATGCTCTGTCATGTTAGTATAGCTAAATGAAACGGTAAATTCATAAAAAAATCATGAAAATACCTAAACATAAAACCAGCAGAAACATAAATAGAAGAAACATAAATACTTGAAATCAGCTGATACATAGGCTGCACTAAAAGTATCGGGAATGGAATATTTCCACTGTTCCTGTCATATTAAAATCTTTATAATTGAAAACTCCTTGGTTTTAAAAATCGAATACCATTTATATATCTAAATAAAGATTCTCGGTCTTGTCTCAAGGTTTTGTCAAACTTGTTTAGTCGTTGAGAAAATGGAATTGACTCGAGAAAATTCAAGAGCGATGATTTATTATGACTTTCGAAGTGGTTTAACACAAAAACAGTGTGTTGACCGGATGATTTCTACATTTGGTGATGAAGCCCCATCCAAAACCACAATTTATCGCTGGTTTGCTGAATTTCAACGTTGACGTGTCAAGCTCAGTGGCGATCCCCGTCAAGGTCGTCCAAAAACTGCAGTCACCCAAGAAAACGTTGATGCTGTGCGTAAGCTGATTGAGGAAGATCGATATGTGACATACCGCGAAATTCAGGCAACTTTAGACATTGGCATGAGTCAAATACAAATAATCTTGCATGAACAATTAGGTGTAAAAAAGTTGTTTTCCCGATGGATACCGCATTCGCTCTGTGAAGAGCAAAAAGCGGCTTACGTTACTTGGTGCGTCAGAACTCGAAGGATTCCATGCAGGATCCTCAACAACATCGTATCAGGTGACGAATCCTGGATATACGCGTACGAACCCGAAACAAAAACCAGTCACGAGTTTGGGTGT